TTTTCTTTATTCAATTGCTCCTGGGTTTTATCAATTGGTATCAGAGCCGATGGATACCCGAGGGAAAACCAACGCTGAGTTTCGGAACGAAGTTAACGAAGCACTGGGCCGACATGAATCTCTGCTGGATCAACTCACGACAGCCCTACAGGTAGTGACGGCGGAGTTACAAGCAGTGAGCCGGCGCCTCAATCGTGATCCCTCCGCCATGGATATTAACGTTAACCCCTTTGCAAATGGAGAAACCAGCCGCCCCACTCCCCGTCCACACGAACCGAAAGCGGTATTTCCGAAATTTGCAGGTGGTGACCCTACTGGATGGATATACCAAGTGGAGCAATATTTCGAGTTCTATGGTGTGACTGTTGAACGACAACTTGGCTTAGCCGCCATGAATCTGGAAGGATTGGCACTACAATGGTTTCGCTGGATGACCAAGCGTCGGGGCCCAATTTCCTGGGCAGAATTTGTGAGGTCCTTGCGGGTGCGCTTTGGACCAACTGAATACGAAGATCCGTCTGAGGCTCTTTCTCGTCTCAAACAAACCACTACAGTTGCTGTTTACCAGGAATCTTTTGAGCAACTTAGCCACCAGATAGATGATCTTCCTGAACCATTTGTGATCGGTTGTTTCGTCGGCGGACTCAAAGATGAAATTCGGCTCGAAGTCAAGACAAAAAAACCACGAACCTTGGAGGATGCTTTTGGCCTTGCACGACTAATAGAAGAAAAATGGCAACTGAGTACCCGGAATTCCTTCCGTTCTGGTGCTGCCAAGCCTAGCCCCACCGCAGGAATTCTGGGTCCACCACCGACACAAGAACCAAACAAAACTCCTACTGCCATCAAGCAATTACCGTGGGATGAAATGCAACGTAGACGACAACTCGGCCTCTGTTTTTCGTGCAGTGAGCGGTTTACTCCGGGACATCGTTGTAAACAACCACAACTCCTTTTGTTGGACGGTGGGGAAGCAACACCCGAGGATGAGGAAGTTCAACCCGAGGAGAGTCCACCAAAACTTTCTTTAGGATACCCGGGATGAATACATGGTGCCATTTGTCACAATAGGATGTCACATGGGAAGACATTGCTCCTATATATGTGAGAATAATTTTCTGCTTTGAGTGCTTTCGACCTTGGGGACAAGGTCACTGCTTTCGACCTTGGGGACAAGGTCACTGTTTCAGGAGGGGGGTATTGATAGGCCCATTGGACTGCTGGAGTCTTATTATTTTCACATATAATTATTATTATTTCCTTTGTTGTAGTTATTGGCTTACGGTTAGTTACCGCTAGGCAGTTGCATTTGTTTACAGGTTTAGTTATTGGCTTTGTGGGGGGAGACCACTATGCACGTAGGAGTGGAACTCCTTCGTATTTTAAGTGTTTAAATATGTGCTTGCATCCAGGTAATAGGGGAAGAAAAATATATCGAGATCATCTCTTCTAGTCTTCTGCTATTCTGATTCTTCTTCCCGACTTTTTCTTTATTCAATTGCTCCTGGGTTTTATCAAAAACAATAACATACATATGTACCCATAGACTTATTGTTTTGAATTTATTGACAATTTAGCTAACCTTTTACCGAACACGGAACACCTGATGTAATAATAACCAAAATAAGTAGCATGGGAGCTACTTACTATATTCATAGTTGAGCCATCTTATTAGTAGTCTTAGCCCAAGTTTCTCAAATTTCACGAGATCAACCCACTTTCAATTTTGCCAAATGGATATGATTATACATATATATTCTATAAATTTATTTACATATGCTAGCCTTAATTAGTACGATTATGCATATCCATAACATGTACCAATAGTGAAATAATACACATATATACGTCGTACTATATCACACCTGAAATTTTAACTCCAATGAAAAACATCTATACTATACTACTTCTATATCACACCTGAAATTTTAACTCCAATGAAAACATCTATACTATCACACGAAATATGATAGTACTTACATAAAAACCCTTAAATTGTCAGAGGTGTACTGGTGTGTATAAGAACTTGAGGTGTACTCATTTGTACTCAGGGGCGGACCGTAGTAGAGACCCAGGGGCAGTGGCCCCTCCAACAACAAAAATATTTAGTGTATATATATACAAAAAAATAATTTTCGCCCTCCCAAATTTTTTTTTTTTAAGTTACCGCCCTCCCAAGATAAACTTCCTGGGTCCGCCCCTGTTTGTACTGGTGTTATAGCCTATAACACCAACATGCATGTTGGCTATAACTTATAGCCAACATGCATGTTGGTGAGATAGCCAACATTTGTACACCAGTTATTATAACATCTATAGTCCGTGACAAAAAAAACCTCTCTCAGACACATATTTATACTCATTTGTACAAAAACGGAATTTTTCGTAGTACGTACCTTGACCATCCTCCAATCAGTATAGAACTCAGTGCTGTCATCTTCACCGACGTCAGCAGCCGCCGTAGAAAAATAAGCCTCAGGACACCTGACTTTAACCTTATATTTCCGACAGAAAGGCACCCAAAACCTGGAGAACTTCCACGCTTCCCGGACGGCATCCAATGTCCCGTCACACCCGCCGTCGTCGGAGATATACACGGCCAGCTTGTTACCGGGGTAGTCCAGAGACATCGCCGATATAACCGTGTTCATCACTCCCAACGCCGGCTCTTTCCCCGGGTCCGCCGTGCACACAAACACGTCCACCGCCGGGAGCACCTCCTCCGCCGCCGGCAACCTCTCCGGGAACACCGTGCGTTTGACCGGCCTCCATCTGTAGGCTTGGTGCAGAACCCAGAGGAACGCGAGGATGACTTCCGAGACGGTGATGATCATATACGGTAGCGGTACACCGAAAAGAGGTGTTTCCCGTTCGATCATCTCTACTCCGGCGCCGGTGAACCGGTAGAACAAGATGGCGGTTATGGCTATCCCGTTTAGGAGCATGTGGAGTCGGTTGATGATGAGGTTGGTTGACAACACGCGGAGGTGGTTTAGTGGTGGCGCTGCCGCGTTGGCACCGTCTCTGCTGGATGTGCTCATTCCGTCCGGCCGCCGGCCTCTTTCAACTATATACTTAATAGTTGTTCGTTAATAGTCTTTGTGAAAATAATCAATTGTGGAAGTGCGTTCGTTGATTCATAGAAGGAGGCGGCGAGCGATATTTATTTCAGTGGTGGGGAACTATTGCTTGCGTCATTGCTTTGTCATCAGTGTTATTATCACGTCATCACCTGCGTAAGCACTAATGTTATCCTCCCATTCACGTCGGAATATATCCATGCCCTAAAGTATGGCGGAATATTAAGAATTTGTTATACACCTATGTTCCTAAGAATTCTTTGAATTTGACTTGGCACGCCTATTAAGAAAATGGAATAAAGTGGAAATGTATGATTGTGGTTATCTAAGAAAAATGTAAAATGAATGTGAGCCACATAACTTGTCCAAAAAGGAAAGTGATAAGAATTTTTTGGAACTGCATAAACAGGAAAGTGAGAAGTATTTTGGGGAACAGAGGGAGTAACTTTTTTTATCATCACATCCAACAACTATATAATGGGAAAATAGCCCCAAATAAGAGCAAAGTAATGTTCAAATTCCTAAATAGGAGTGGGTATAATATTATTCCCTAAATAAGACCTTTCTTCCCATTTTAACCTTCTATAATTCATTTCAACCATCCGCATCTTTTAAGCTCCGTACTCAGTAGCACGCACACATGGGGTCTTCCTTGCGCATAGCAGGGCTTCAATGCCAAGCGGTGGGTATAGCAGTTAGATCAACTTTGTAAGCCGGAAGGGCGGGGGTGGCTGGATCTGCAAGGGCGGCAGTCGGAAGCCGGCGGAGGCCGGATCTGGCCGGATATAGGTAGGCAGCGGCCAGATGATCTACGAAGGTGGCGATTGAATCAGCAGCGGCGACTAGTTTTGGAGCGGCAGCGACGTCCAGCGCGCGGCGTCCGGTGGCGGCCGGTCAGCGGTCTGTCGGTAGTTGGCGGCGGCTGGTCGGCTATTTTTCTGCGACTGGTCCGGCAGTCTGAAGGGAGCGGTCTGTTTTGTCAAGCTTCAGGGGTATTTTTTAGCAACTACAAATAATAACTCCTATTTGGGGAATTTTTTAACTTTAGTCTTAGTTTGGCAATTAAGAATTTAATTACTCTCATTTAGGTAAATCTCCCCTAATAAAATCAAAAAAACATTTGTCACATGGCTGATAATACATTTAAAGAAATAGAAGTAACCAAAACGATAAAAAACCTTATATCTACCGTCCGCCCTCGAACGAGACTTAGAATCTATTACCTCTGTAGAAGCAATAATAATATCTGGTTATGGGCTTAACTGAGTCAATGACAGACAAACCAGATTTTTCATCTCCTACTTAAATTCTAGAAACTCTCTGCTAAGAAATAAGAACACATCCAAAACAACATGCAATTCGAAAGAAAAACACAAACAGAATAACACGAAATTAAAACATAGTTCACCCATTTTCTTCCAAACCCTAGACGTGTTTTCACTTCATTGCTGGAAAAATTGTGTTAAAATTGCATTAAATGATCATTTTCGGGCAGTTTTTGAGTGGAGCCCACTTCCAATTTGGGTCAGATCAAAGTGAATTCATTTTCTTCTTTTAAGATGTTCAATCCAATATGTGGTACAAAAAAAATGGATAACGGGTGAATGAGAACTTTATTCTTGAATTTCACTTGTTGAGATGCAAAAATTGGAAAATTTCTGAAAGTAGAACTAAACGTAGAACTACAGTCGGTTAATGGACGTTTTAATTTCTTCTTCAAACTGCCAGGGTTTCGAGTGTTGGTTGACGTTTAGAAACTGTAAAACATGATTAAAGCATGGTTTAATTGTGTGGTTAATGGTATGTAACGTTCTAGAACATAAAAACACAATAAGTGTGTGTTCTTATCAGCGGTTTCACACAATAAGTGTGTTTAGTGTATAATTAATATCACTGCTCATCCTCACTACTCTATCAAGAAAAACATTGAGCACACTAAAATACTCGCTGCACTGTCCTCTCTAAACAAAAACACTGCCAAACTGCCAATAACACTTCTTCAATTCTATCCTTTGTTCCAATTTGACAGAGATTGAAGGACATGAAGAAATGGTCCAGAGAAGGCTCCACCCCCGGCTCCGGCACAACGAGAGGAACCCAGTGATGTAATAGTGGCTATTGGGGGTCAATTGGCAAGGAGCCCGCCCCAGGAACTTGAGATATTCCAACAAAAAGGGGTGGAGTGGGAACCGGAGGCCTAGCTCCACCGAGAGCACGTGCACAACAAAGCAACCCTCGGGGGGGCTGGACAATAAGTCATCCGGGTCCGGGTCCACCACTTGAGCCGAAGGCTCCACCAGGAGCTGTGTGGCCTGACAATCAGAAGGTGTGGCCGTTGTCTTCAAGTCGAGGGCGGCGGTGTTGAGGTATGAGTGACCTTCGAGGATCCCCATCGGCTGCCCTGCGTCGACGACAACCTTCTTCTTCTTGGAAGGGCCCTCTTCTTTCTGCTTCCTCTTCTTCTTCCCCGCGGCTACCCGGAGGGGCTCAGCGTCAATCGGCCAGGAGCTGCTCGCTTCGCCGACGTCTCGCGTAGGCAGAACAGCAATTGTCACTTGTTATCTCTCCTTCTCTTCCTCTTCCTCGGCCACAGCGGAATCATTGGGTGACGAAGGCTCCTCGCTCGAGGACTCCACGTCCGAATAGCTCTCTTGTTGCACTGAGGGCTCCATCGAGATGTATTGGGAATCGCTTTGTGACGACATTCTTTCCAGAATAATAACTGAAGGGTTTAGGAGAAGAAGGCTACTTAAAGGTTCTAACAGAAGGCCCCTAGGATCACTAACACTAGATCTAAACGGGAGGGAGCAAAATATGCTAAGGGGCTCAAGAACAGGCGAAAAACTGACCTTGGAAGCTGAGTTTGATCGAGGGAAGTAGTTTGTCTCTCTAGAAAAATTGGCAGAGCTCCGCAATGATCTCAAGAAAGCACAAAGGAAATAAGGCCTGGCTTGGGGTATTTATAGGCTACCCAGCCTCGAAAGATGTTCCTCGGTTTGAAAGCCCATCATTACAGGCCGCCGCCTTAGCCAATGGGTGGCACACGCCCCCCTTCGACCAACGAGAACCTGACACGTGGACCCCTCCTCCAACGGCTATATCCCAACGGCTCTATTACGAGGCACCAGGGGTGGCCTCAGCTTATACCCTTCGACACACAACCAACGACTCCCTTCGGAGATCATATGCCTTCGAAACATGAGCAGCATAAGCCTTCGGCTTATCACCCTTTGGCGGCCCTCACCCAAATGCGCCATCGGGTATAGACATTACTCTTAACTCCTCCAGCCCGAACTTGCCTTCAGCCTAAAGGAGTTGGGGACTGGGACATACCCCTCGGGAACAATGCAAAACAAAAAATTGACATGTGCAAAACAAACATATACATGCGCCAATGTAGCCTTCGGGCAAATATCAAAACAAACCCCTCTGATGCATCCTACAACTACACCCTTCAGCAAAAGCAAAACTGTCAAAAAATTTGCAGAAGTCACTTGCAACGACAAAGCAGCCTTCACCACAACACATACAGGCAACACATATGCATTTCCCTCAGAAAGCCCTCGACATGTGGGGGACTGGAGGGATGCCTTCGGCAACAGCAGAGAACAAAATGACAATTAAAGCGTCCGGCTGAACAAGAATGCCTTCGGGAGAATCACCACAATTACTCCTTTTCCCTCAAGTACCTCTCGGCAAAAGGAGTGGGGGACTCCTGATGGAGTATATGACCGAAGGCTATCCCAGGTGCACCTTGGGCTCCTTTGAGCTTGGACCGCTGTGATTTGAGCCTCTTGTGCATCTTGGTCCTGTTGGGCATGTGCTAGAGTAGTAGGAGTCTGTGGGTCGGGGGTTCCCGGGCCATATACTCCATCAACCGTTGTTCGTCAGTTATTGTATCCTGTGAAATTGACACTGCAACGCTCCTAGCAACGTGAGAAACATTGGATTAGTTTTAAGGAAATTGTGTGTTGCACAAGCTTTGATTGTACCTGTGCCAGTTCTTTGTCCAGTTCATTCAGATGTTTTAAATTTTTTATTTCTCGAAAAAAACAAAATACATTTTCCCTACAATCTTAAAACTAATTCAGTTTGTTTTTTCAAAAAGGTAAAGAAAGGAAAATGACATATCTGATAATCAAAATGTTCTTGTTGGACAAAATAAAACTCACTTTGAAAGTGGAGTTTCGGTAAACAATGGTTCACAACGCAGAACATCTATTTTGGCCAATAAGGGTCAATCTCTACGGTTACAGTGTGAAGTAACTCCGTGGACAAACTTGAAAAGTTTAATTGATTGACCTTTAAGAGGTGTCAGCAAAAGATGGTCTTCTTTCTCACTACACTCGGCTTGGCAAGGTTCTTGATAGAGGAAGTTCTTGTTTTAAACGAACAAGAGATAGATGCGGAATATGTTAATTCGGTTAATGCGTGAAAGAATTCAAACTTCAATTCCTTTGTCGAAATTATGTGTTGAACGGGTTGCATGATGCTCTCTATGATGTCTATCTATAGCATGCTAGCCAAAGCTTAGGAGCTATGAAACATTTTGGATCACAAGTACAAAAAGTGAGGATGTTGTTGCAACGAAATATGTTGGCCATTTAATTTTCTTGACTTTAAAATGGTGATTGAAAGACGGTCTTGAGTCACGTTGAGGAGATTCAAATTATCTTCAACGAGATTCAAAAGGAGTGTGTTCAAACTCCAAGGAGTGGTTTGTGGACACCAGAGCTACCTGACACATTTGCTCAAACTGGGAGCTATTCACTACCTTTGAGGTCTTAAATGACGAGAAGGTGTGAATGAGAAATTCAGCTCATTCGACGATAGATGGAATAGGCATGGTGGCTTCGGACGAGGAACTAACTCTGAACCAGGTGTTGTTCGTTCCAAAAGTGTGCAAGAGTTTGATTTTGGGGTCGATGTTGAACAAACACGATTTTCACATGATATTTAAGTTGAACAAATTAGTTTTGTCTAAGGCGAAAATGTATGTGGGAAAGGGATATGTTGTTGATGGGCTTTTTAAGCTCAATGTGATGGTGATGGTAATGATGATAGTGATGGTGATGTTGATGGCGATGCTGATGCTGATGGTGATCGATGGTGATGGTGATGCTGATGGTGATGATGATAATGATGATGATGCTGATAAATCTTTTGTTCTTATTTGGTTGAATCTTCTAGTTTATGATATCGTAGACTAGAACATGTAAATTTTGAATATATACGTAGATTTGTTAACTTGGAACACATTCTTAAATTAAAAATTGATGTGAAGTAGAAATGTGGAATTTGTGTTGAGACAAAACGTCTTTCAAATCGATTAAAAGGAAAACGGAACCACTTGAATTAATTCATAGTGACGTTTGTGATTTTAAATCAATACAAACACGTGGTGGTAATAAATATTTACTACCTTTATCGATGATAGCACTCACTATAGTTATGTGTATTTGCTTGCAAATAAACATGAAGCAATCAATAAATCCATTCTTTATAAGAATGAAGAGGAAAACTAACGTAATCGACAGATTAAAATGCTTAGAAGTGATTGAGGTGGGGGAATTTGAAGCACCAAATGGTGACTATTGCGCGACTATGGGTATAGTACACAAACGTACTGCACCCTATTTGTATAAGGATGTTTTATTTTGACTCATTTTAGTCCCAGACCAGACCAGACCATACAAATCTGATCATAGCATATCAGATCAGATCAGACTAAACTTAGATAGTTATAAAATACACAAAGATCATATTAGACAAGATCAAACCAGATCAAATCAGACTAAACCAGACAAAAAAATCAGTACAATTAAAAACATCATTTTAGCCTATTTTACGGGTTGGCTCATATTAATGAGTGGCTTCTCCATCCAGTTTTTTAAACTTAAGTCAGGATGTTTTCTTTTGTACCAAAACTTACCAGTCTGATCTGATCTGGTTTGATCTATTTAAGTATGGTCTAATCTGGTTTGAACTAGTCTATTCTTGTAAATGTCTTATCTCTTTAATTTTATTATTCTACAAGTCTAATTTGATTTAATCTGATATATTTAAATATAATCTATTATGATTTATTTAAATTTGATTTGATCTAATCACAAAATACAATCCAAAAGAAACACCTCCCAAAACATTTCTGTACGAAACCAATCCGGACTGGATTCACACTGAAATCTCGTTGGGCCTTTTCAGGACCTCACATCTCTCTCAACTACTCACGAGAACACAGAATAATTTTCCTCCAAAATTCAATTTTGACCAACCGAGGGTAACTCGTTGTTTGCTGCCGCGATACGGTCTGTGGTTTAAGGTTCATCACTCCGATGACTGAAAAGGGTGTAGCTATAGAAATACAAGAATCAGGAGAAGATGATGTTGGCATAGGAGTGAAACTTGGAACTGAAAATGTAGAAGATTATTCGAAGGAAAACGTTGGAGCGAACAAACGGATTAAGGATACGTCAATTGATAGACTCAGTGCATTGCCTGATTGCTTACTTATTCATATCCTCTCGTTTTTAGGTGTTAAAAAAGCTGGGGTTACGAGCTTGTTGGGGAAAAAATGGAAGTATCTTTGGGCTGAATTGCCTGTGCTTGAATTCCATTTTGATTTCTCTGATGAAAGTGAGGAAACTAAGAATACGCTTGACTTTGTGGCTTGGGTTAATAAGACCCTTGCTATTCGTAGTGGAAATCATCTGGAGAAGTTGAAGGTTGGGTTCAATTACAAGATTTGCTTTGATCCGGATGTTGATAGCTGGGTAGAGTTTGCTTTGAAAAATAAGGTGAAAGAAGTCAGTTTGATATTAGGGGAAAGTGAAGATTTCTACATACTTCCTGAAATGATGTATTCAAATTCTTTCTTGACATCACTGTCTTTGGATGGCTGCATTTTGGATCCTGAAAGACCAATCCAGTGGCCTTCATTGACTTCTATAGAGATCTCTGATGTCCATTTGCCTCAGCATGTGCTTGAAATGATATTATCAGGCTGTCCAGTTTTGAATTCAATGAATCTCAGTGGTTGTAGGGGATTCACTTGTTTGGATATCAACTCTAACGGTCTATATAACCTCCGGGTGGAGAACTTTGAAGACGAAGAACAAGAAAGTGACCCTTTCCTGCAAATATCAGCACCCTATCTAAAATCTTTAAGTATTTCTTTGTATCCGGTAGAAAAGAAGTTGAAGCTCACTAACCTCTCATCTCTTGTTAGTGCTGAATTTTATTTTTGTGAACACATGTGGAGTTTGCCCTCTGAGGTGCTGAGTAATGCAAAGGAATATTTCGAAAACATTCACCATGCCAAGGAACTCGTTCTGGGGTCTGGGCCTGTTAAGGTTTGTATTGGTTGTAAAATTCATTTGATCTTGTAGCCCACCTTTCGGGAAAATTTTCTATCATTTATATTGTCCCTTAATTTTGATAGTAACGTTGGAGTTTTTTTTTACAAATTCTGAAAGTCAGTAGTTGATTGGTTACCGTATTCAAAAACAGACATGGCATTGAACCTGCTAAACTGGTTTTCTCATCTTGCCAATTGTCAATTGCAATACACCCTAGCTATAATGATAGTATAGTTCATAAACCACGTGGATAAATACACATTTAATTCACTATTCTCATGAAAGTAACTCTATATTCCTGGTTAGAGTTTAGGTGAAAGTACATTAACAATTGGAAGCTAGTCCAGAAACAACATTTGTGCATAGCCCAACTTCTTATGTAATGCAAGATAGAACACTTTCAGAATTTAGCCATAAAATATTAATTCCTACCCATCTCTTAAAAAACTACATCTTGACGGATATTTTTAGTTATTATGCATAATTGTATTTTTTATTGAAAAAACAATTCTCTAATCAGCATAATATATGCCATCAAGAGAGTGTCATAGATTTTTTTAATTTGCCCAAACTAGAGTTACTATTACCAAGGATGTTTTTAATTGGACTATGATTTTGTGGTGTGTTTGGATTAAGTCTGGTCTAGTATGGTCTGAATTGGTCCGGTCTGGTCTAGTAGATGTTTGTTGTATGTGTATTTTACAACTAACGAAGTCTGGTCTAGTATGATCTGGTTTGGTGTGATCTGTTTGAGTCTGGTCTAATTGTGTATGGCCTGGGACTGAAATACGTCCAAATAAAATTACCCTAACTAAATCAATTGCAAGTGTATTGGTTTGCCAGCAATACATATGTGACTTGTGGAGAATACAGTTTCTTGAGTTAAAGTTTTGTGTCTTTCCTCACAGTTAGTACTAACTTAACAAATAACATCCTAAGTTGGTAGTTTTTGTTACAGATAAGTGTCACAATTATTATTTCTACTGATAGCAAAGAGCATGTAAAGTGAAAGTGTGAAACTAAAGTGTAAATCTTGCAATGGGAGTTGGTCAATCAGGGATTTTGAATGTATGAGGATTGAGGAATATATAAATATTATGAAGTTGTTTTTGTTTCATATTTTTTCACTCAGATCTTACATTGTATATTCTTTGTATCTATAAAATACATTTTGCGGCAACATGTAAACTAGGCTCTAGCAGAGTTGGTGATGAATGGCTGGCAGCTCCCAAAAAGTCGGTTAAGGTGCTTGACAATAAATGTTTTATGTGATGCTGTGAGAATCGTTCCAGGCATTTTAGGCCTGCTGGAATCTTCTCCTGACCTTGAGACATTGATTATTGACTCTATTGATCCCTACAATGTAAGTGCTGTAGATTCATGGCTTGTCTTTTGGACTTTTTGTACGACGGTATGAACATGTGTTTAATATTGTTTCACGTGGTTTGCGTACATTCTTTATATATAATTGTAATGCTTTCAAGATAAACCAGCAATCTCTCCATATCATTAACAGTAGATTTGTCTTGAATTTGTTGTGTTTGTAGTGGGACGAGAATTGGCTCCCACCTGAAAAATGTGATTTGGATTCCGACTTATTGCATCTGAAGACAGTGAAAATGTATTACTTGGCAAATCCAACTGTTGGTGGTGAACCAATGCTTACATTGGCCAGAATCCTTCTTAAGAGGGCAACAATATTGGAAGAGATGGTGATTAGGGCTGATATTATAGATATGAGTGACTCTGTCAAGCTAGGTAAAACCTTGCTCACTTATCCGATATCCTCGCCAAACGCAGTCATCTTCTACACTTAGATTATTTGCTTTTGTATATATTTTCTTAACTATGTAAAATTTTAATGGTAGCCGTGCTACCTACGTATTATTATCTTTTATTTTTCATGTTCTACACTACTTGCTTTTAAAATTTCCAGCTTAAGACATCTTTATTTATTTATATTTGAAATAATAATAATGTCTTTGATATATCAATGTAGTTTTGTTTATTAATTTTGTATTACCATAATAGCAAATTAGAAATAAAAGACAGACTTGTAGATGAGATTCAGGGCTACTATTAATATAATCTATTAATATCAGGTTGAATGTATAGGATGGAGCTTGAATGTCAAACCAATTTTTTAGTTGTCTTTTGTCATTCATGATTTAAAATCGCTTGGGTCTCTATAGCTTATCTAACTCAAATGATTCAGTCTGATTTGAATTGAGTGATTTGTTTTGTCAATTTGCTAAATCATTTGGGTGTTGCATTTCAAGCATCTAGCATGTACTTGATGTAGAAGATCATGATTCATGAAGGTGGAGTCAATGAATCTTTGCTTGACAATTTGGCGCCCTAAACTTCAAATATGAATATTATTGTGCTCCTTTGGTTACAAATCTCCCTTCTACGTTTTAAGCTAATACTTGATATTTGAATGATCTAATTTGGATGCTAATTCTCTGGAGATTATGGGATAAGAAGTTGGCCTTTTGAAATTCTTCTGCACGTGCACGTCAAGAACCATGAACACATTTCTGTGGTAAGTGTTTGCATAATGCTATTTGAACGTCCAATTTTACCTTTTTGAGCTCAACGACTCGGTCAAATCTATAGCGAGGTATTTTTAAATAGTTTCTCTGGACGGTTTGTGCATTTTTCTTTTGCTTAATTTTAAGTAGAGCAAAGGGTGGGGGCACTCGCCCCCAATATTTTTCTAATTTTAGCATCTTGTTTTGCAAAAAGTTGATAGATTGCTCCCATTGAAATTTTAAGTTTCTCATGATAACATTATTAGGAGATAGCTAGTAAGGACATATCTGGAAGATAGCTAGCTAGGAAAACTTTTTTGTTTTACGAACAGTGCAAAGATAATGAAACTATGGATCTTCTTATTCACCCTGAACATATCTCTCAGTTGTCCTACAAACAGTGCAAACGTTGTCTGCGAATTCATTTTCATTCCATCCGTCTCCAACCAATAGAGTCACCAACAAAGGTTCCATCACTTTGTCAACAAAAGTAAATAATTACTTCATGTCAACAATTACTTGGTTACCTCTCTTTCCATTACTACACGTCTACACCTAAGAGATCAGAGGCCTCTCCCTTGCTTTGGCAGGGAGGGTGCCCGGCCATTATCAACCTTCAGATGAAAAAAATAAAGGTTGAATATGAAGGGGTCACTTTGTTCACATATCTCAAGGCCATGGATTAAATCTCTGCCCTCCATTGCAGTAACGCACTTTGCCTTAAGGCAGAGAATCCAAATCCAAACCTAAGTGCCGGCCTGCCCATGGTAACTGAATCAAAATCACAAACGAGTTACTATATACTCTGTATTAGTCACCTGTATAATCAGTACTACACATTCATTCCTCCACACAATTACTGTCTAGAAATTACATAGTACATATGAATTAGTAGCAATTAGTAGCAATTCGTTCCTCCGCACCATAATTGGATTATAACGCACTCCAACTCACCGCCTCCATCTAGGCGCACGACTGTCCGCTCCATGGTTGATGAACTAGGGCGACTTGCAGAACATCGTAGATGAATATTCCCATTAAAGTTTGGTTTAATTGGATTTTTTCATGCGAGTAGACTTTGGATCCGCTACTTCCTTTGGATACGCTAGAAGCTTAGGCCCACAATTCTTATTTTTTGTCTTTTCTATTTTTGAAAGTTGGGTTTCTAAAATTAGGGTTTGTGAATCTAAAATCTTATAAACACCGATGAAAGTTAGGGTGTTTTTGGTATACTAAATGTTTTGGTGTAACACAAAGCACCATTCTCTTGTACCATATGGTCTCCTCATTGTACTATACACTTTAACTCCTGCTCATCCGTTACCTCCGTTCACATAAAGCATCCAATTCAACCTCTTCGTTGTAGTGCGCCGTCTCTTCACATCCGGAGTATTTAATTTATTCTTTTCCATTTAATAATTACACTAAATTTGGAATTTGGAATGTGGCCTGCTGCTGGCCAGAACTTGAGCTCATTTCACCACCGGCGTCCAAAGCCGGCATCGTGTCTTCCAGCACGGCAGGTGGACTGGTCAAGGATCTTCGGTTTGATGATGTCGTAGTCTCTGGACCTCCTAAGTGTGATACTGTTCCGACCGCGCTCCAACCTGGTGTATGACGGCGTTTGCCATCTCTGTCACAAAGCTTTTGATTGAAGGATAGAAAGATTAAGTTATGTTACTATACCTTCGATCAAAAGCTGTTGAACCATATATACATTAGTTTGTGTGGTGTTGATAGAAATGATGTGCTTTGTCGATTCATGTTCATTGAAGGCCCAAGCCAATACCGGTCTCTACTGCTGCACTTAAGGTTTTGTATCATCATTTGCCATGGCTATACCCAGCACTGTGCCTTCATGCTTATCCCCACGACTCTCTATCTTTGACTATATATATGGCAAAGACACGCTATGACTGCTTTGGGAAAGATCGATGGTTCTTCAGGATAATTGCTTAAACGCCACCGATCTTCTTGAATAATTCTTGATTTCCGAGTTTGTGTAGGCTGTGTTTGTTTTCCTTATTCAGTGGGTTACTGCCTATGTAGGTAAGTTATTAATTTCATTCATTTTAATTATAATTGATTATTTCTGAAATCTATATATAAACCGTATATATGGTAATAAATAACAAGTTCGAGTCCTGCCGTTCCTAATGTGAGGATAATTAAGTATTGTGATATTTTTTAAATCCCATACCAGCTCACTGTTTATTACAACAATACTTTATTATGATTCTGCAATTTAATAATTAGTACTAGTATTGAGCATAAAACTCCATACCATAGGGTTAGATTCAAATGATTGTGGGGTGTAATAATATCATGTTAATATAGGTCATACAAACGTAGCCACAACAAAACATTGTGTTTAGAAATATCAGTTCACTTGCACAAGAAACTTAAACCATTAATCTTGATGCACGCTCTTACAAGTCCATTTGTGCAGTTTTTTTCAATTTTGAGAGAAAGTAATAACTTCTTACTTGAACAATTACTACGTACAATTATAGTTGAATTATTCCTTTAGTTTCTAATAATTATTACTACTGTTTTATCAATATATGTTTTCCACTTTTGGATTTGGTAACATCGTTTCCATTTTTAGTATACCAACTTCCTTGTGAAAGTTAAGCCTTGATTTTCCATGACAAGTTTTGTTTGGCGGTTTCCCTTTTCACTTTGAGATAATATTGAAGTCCTTAGATAACAGTTGAATTGAAAGCTAATTGATTAGTTGGTTCAATTAAGATATTTTCTGTTGGACTGTTTTCAGTCCCAGACCAGACTTAAACAGACCAAATCAGACCAGACCAGACTTCCGTAGTTATGAAATACACAGAGACCAGACGTTTACCAGACCAGTTCAGACCTGACCAGACCAGATCAACAAATTTCAGTCCAAAAGAAAACATCCTTAATCATATACAAATAAGTTATTATGGTGGATAGGATGTGTTGACGTAGGACTTAAAATTTTGATTCCAACTTTAGCTTCATATATGAAATTATTTCTATCGTATAAGTTATCTACTCAATGAAATATCAAATACTACCTCCGTTCTCTTTTAATTGCAACGTAGGACTTTTTGCACTATTCACACATTCTACTTTGACTATAGTTTATTTATTTATTAATGTATTACGAATTTAATTTTTAAAAAATATTGTTAAATTATTCTCATTCTAAATTTTCAAAATATGAATTTTTCAAATTTTTTACTAATAAGGATTGAAAGATATTAATGGTCAAACTCGTGCGTTGGCAAACGTGAAATGTTGACTGTTGCAATTAAAAAAGGAACGGAAGAAGTACGTTTTATTTCAATTAAGAATGCCGATAACTATTTTTTATTGTATTTCTCAAAATTGGAATATGGTTTAAAAGGAGATGGTGAACGATTATAAGTTGAGGTTGCGCGGTTACACTACATTTGGACATATGGTGACTGGTTCTAGGGTTCTAGCCTTGCTACTAGCATAATATTGTAGAGCGTTACTGATTCTAACCCTGTGTTGTTTATGTCGTCTGGGGTTAGCATGTATATCATGCCATCAGTAAACTTGCTTTAAATGATATGGAAGTGTTTGCCTACGTACTACTCCGTATGACCGTATATGGTATGTCATGTGAAAAGATATGTAAAATATGCTTGGTTATGCTTGAATAATATAAGTCCATTTTACTGCACATGCTCTTATATGACAGTAATTATACAAACAGACTTTACAACGAGTATTCTCTTTTTTTCATTTAAATTACAAATTACAATGTCATCGTGTACACCCTATATATATACGGAGTATTATATATTAATAAAATTTAATTCCTCTGGCTTTAATTTGTGGGAGCTGTAGAATTTAATGAACTTGAGTATATATATGCTCTTTAATTAATACCTCCGTCCCAAAATGATTAGACAATTCCAAAACTTTGACCATTAAGATATTTTTATTGGAAATTATTTATAATATAAAAAATACTACGAAAATATTCTTTGTTAAAAGTACTTTCATAAAAATATAAAATTTATAAATTTCATAATATTATATTAATCAAAGTCATGGTCCAAGTTTTGAGCTTTGGCTAAACATTTTGGGACACAGATAGTATTATTTAGAAACAGTAACATTGCTTCTCCAAGGTATGATTTCTATTAGTTTTATCTTCTCATGGTTTACAAATTTTGTATCCCATTTTGCAGGTGAGATCTTTCTATTTAAGAAATGAAATGGGCTTTGATGCATCTAACTGTTTCCCGGTGTGTTATTCAATAACTCTAAATGTATAGGCATATTGGTGTTATTCAGTAACCCGAAATGTATATGGATATGTCTTTCTTTGATTTGTATAAAGTACATCTCAGACACATAAAAAAAGAAAAGAAAAAAAAAACATGTACTTCCGTAATATTTTTGAATCAAACTCTTTAATTTTCACATCTATGATTACTTTTTGTCGACTTGTATGTACTATAATACTCAACAAAGATGGGATACTTTCCACTACAATTTCCAATTTCATTCATATACGAGTATAAAAATATAATTATAGTGTTTAAACAACCTAAATAACATTGGACACTTTCCCATTTGCGCAACGCGCATGAAAAAACTAGGGAACAAGGGTCAGTTTGGTCCTCGAAGTTGCAAAAAAGGGGTCAAATAAGTCCTTATATAGAAAATTCTGTCCGGACGTGCTATTTGAGGTGGCTCCCGGTAGAATTTTTTGATGAAATTTTTTGAGCATCTTATTTATTAAGTCTAGTTTACCCATACCAAATTTCAGCTAAAAATTCGATCGGAAAGACATTCAAATGAATTCTTGAAGATAACTGTGCTATTAAAAGTGCAGTTATCTTCAAGAATTCATTTGAATGTCTCCCCGATTGAATTTTTAGCTGAAATTTGGTATGCGTAAACTAGACTTAATGAATAAGATGCTCAAAACATTTTATCAAAAAATTCTACCGGGAGCCACCTCAAATGGCACGTCTGGACAGAATCTTCTATATGAGGACTTATTTGACCCTTTTTTACAACTTCGAGGACCAAACTGACCCTTTACTCAAAAAACTAGTATTAAATATATGCATTGAATATAGACAGTGAACATCATAATAGATATTGGGGGTATTTGGGCAATTAGCGGTTGGCTGTTGTCTGTTGCTAATTGTGTTAGCGGTCGGATGTTGGCTGATTAGGTTGACTGTTTTGATTAGCTGATAGTATTAACCGTTTATAAAATAGTGTTTGGTTAAATAGTTGTTTACATTTAGCTGATAAATTATTAAATGACTTTTAAGGACATCAATAATTTCATCGTTTACCAACTGCACAGTTTATATACACTTTATATAGTCCGTACATCTCAACAATGTTATTTTCACAAGTAATTACACCATTTTTGTTTTATAAATATAATTTATGTAATACAATTAACAATTCTTTAACACATGATTTTTCATTCTTCTCATGAATCTCACAGGCTGTCAGAATAGTGGAGATTGTTGCTTTGAAAATAACCAAATCGAGAGGGCATGCCTGGATTGTCTTCATCGAATTAAGACCATTTTAGGCTAAGCTTTCAATTTCTGATAAACACAATCATTTACATACATAAATGTATATATGTATGTATATATATAGAAATAGAAAATTATTCTTCATCGTACAGAAGAAATAGAACAAAATCGGACTGAGTTTATACAGAAGAAACATAACCTCTTCCTCAGTTTATGTTTCAAGGTCGGCTCAATAGATTAGGAAACCCGGTGCAAATCACGTAAAACAGACCTTATATTAAATAAATATAAATATAAAAAGCATTCTTTAAAAATAACCCAAAAAAAGACTACAATCAAATGTGACATTGAGATATAATCATATTTCGAACCTGAACAACCAAAATCGGTAAAAAAAACTAAAACCTTAAAATCATGAACCAAAAAAATATAGAGTAGAATATTACTGAAAAAACTACTCCCTTCGTCCCTTAAAATCAAGCTCGTCCAAAATGTACGAGGAATTTGTGTTAAATACTATAACTAGGCCTTATCCAGGCATTATGTAATAAAGAAGTTGCACATTTATAATTAACAATTTCATTTTAATTACATACAAATATTAGTATGTAATGTTTGTATTTAAAAACAAAATACTAAAATATGAATCTTTAATCAAATAAAAAAGGATTTTGTATAATATGTAGACTATATTTAAAATTTTGGGTCTTCTGAATCGAGAGGCCTTGTGCGGTAGCACTTCTTGCACGCCCTCATCTACGACCCTGTTTGGCTTATATTACAAATGAGTGAGGAGTGATCTATTTATAGGTCTCATAGGATCCTTCTAGGCACTCCTATTACCTTAAGATTCTACAATATATATTCTATAGAATCCTAGCTTAGGAATATTCTAGAATTATTTAATAAGTACATTAACTAAAGAGTACTCTAGATCTTTCTTTACTAACTCTAACTTATGGGCTAACTAATTTATTATTTCTCATACAACTACTAGCTCAATAAGTTAACTTCTAATGGACTCAACTATTGGGCTAAGTCAAGTTTAATTTCTAACATCCCCTCTTAAACTTGACTTAGCAACACCAAGTAGATTCCACATCTTGGCAAAGACATCATGCTTGAGTGGCTTTGTGAGAATATCAGCGATTTGGTCTTGAGTCTTCACATACTCTACTTGAATTTCCTTCTTCGCTATCTTTCCCCGGATGAAATGATATCGAGTGTCTATGTGCTTACTTCGATCATGAAACACTGGATTCTTTGCTAATGCGATAGCTGACTTGTTGTCCACGAATATTGTTGCTTCTTCTTCTTGAGACATGCCGAGAGCTTGCAATATGTACCTGAGCCAAGTTGCATGACAAACACTTGATGTTGCTGCAACGTGCTCGGCTTCACAGGTGGACAAAGTGACTATCAATTTCTTCTTTGAAACCCATGTAAAAGCGGTGGTTCCCAAGTAAAACACGAACCCAGTTGTGCTCTTGTGGTCATCGATATCTCCACCCCAATCACTATCGCAATATCCAACCAGCTTAAACTCATCAGATGAAGAGTAAAACAACCCATATTCGGCGGTGCCTTTGAGATATCGCAAAATCCTTTTTGCGGCCTTCAAATGAGTTGTTGTAGGGGTCTTCATGAATCGACTAAGAGCATCTCCAATGCTAGAATGTGCACATGTGGCATGAGAGAGATATACACAAAAAATTGTTTTTATGACATTTCTCTCTCCTTCATTCCACAGTCTTATGTGTTTGTGGTAAGTTTTTCTGTGCAATGTCAAACACAATGTCTACATTTAGACATTGTGTTTGACATTGTGAAGAAAATCTTACCAAAATGATATAAGATCCTTCAAATAAGGAGAGAGATATTTTATTTATTGTTTTTTGATTGACTATCTTTCATGCCACGTATGCACCGTTAACGTATTAGCATTGGAGATGCTCTAACAAGTCCAACACCGAAGAGAATACTCGGTCTTGTACATGTTAAGTATCTTAAGTTCCCTACAAGACTCTTAAAGTAAGTTGGATCAATCAATTTTCCTTTTATCATACCTCGATAGTTTTAATCCACTTTCAACGGGTGTACTTACTGGTTTGGAGTCCTCCATGTTGAACTTCTTCAGTACTTCTCTCATGTATCCTTCTTGAGTGATGAATATACCATAATCCATTTGCTTCACCCTGATGCCAAGATAGTAACTCATAAGCCCAATGTCAGTCATCTCGAACTTCCTTGTCATAACTTGTTTAAACTCATCGAACATCGTCATGCTATTACCTGCAAAGATGAGATCGTCCACGTAGATGCACACGAGTAATATGTCTCCTTAGTGATATTTCTTTACATATAGAGCATGTTCTTGTGGACACTTCGTGAATCCATTAACATGGAAGTATTGATCAATTCTACTGTTCCAAGCTTGTTTACCATAAAGAGCCTTTCTTAGTCTTAACACTTTACCTTCTTGCCCTTTGACTTTGTAACCTTCGGGTTGCTCAATGTAAACCTCTTCTTCTAGGAACTCATTTAAGAATGCGGACTTGACATCCATTTGATGTATCTTCCACTTGTTGTGAGCCGCGAGTGCAATTATCAATCTTATTGTTTCCAATCTAGCAACGGGCGCAAAAACTTGTTCATAATCAACGCCGTGTCTTTGGGCGTAGCCTTTGACTACTAGTACTGCCTTATACTTCTCAACCTCTCCTTTTGCATTTTTCTTGATCTTAGATACCCATTTCACTCCAATTGCTTTATGCTTTGATGGAAGTGTGGCTAGCTCCCATGTTTTGTTCTTCACAATGGACTTAATTTCATCATCCATTGGATCTCTCCACTTCTTGTTTCTTGTGGCTTCTTCAAAACTTGGTGACTCGCAATCACCAAATAGACAAAAGAGTGTAAGTTCATCATTTGAGTTCAGGTTTTGTGTTACCTCGTAAAGCTCTTCAATGCTTCTCATGCGTGGTATTTCTCTTTCATCCGAACTTGGTGGGGAAGCTTGAGATTGAGTGGGAGATGGTGGAGGAGTTATATTTTCATGATTCTCTTCAACATCTTCTTCATATTTCATGGGAGGTAAGAGGCTATAATCTTCTTTGTCACTAATGCTCCAATTCCACGAACCTTCTTCATCAAACTCCACATCATGACTTATTATAAGCTTCTTCAAATCCGGATTGTAGAGTTGTACCCTTTTGAGTGTTTTGTCATATCCAATGAATATAAACTTCTCGCTCTTGTCGTCGGGTTTTGATCTAGTCTAATCAGGAACATGAGCATATGCAATGCATCCAAATACTCTCAAGTGCGAGACTCCGGGTTTACTTCCATGCCACACTTCTTGTGGAGTTATTTCATCTAGACTCTTCGTGGGGCAGCGATTTTGAAGATAGACGGTACAATCCACAGCTTCAGCCCAAAATTCTTTAGGCATATTCTTCGTCTTTAGCATGCTTCGAGCTATGTTGAGGATAGTCCTATTCTTTGTTTCGGCAACACCATTTTGTTGTGGTGTGCGCGGGACAGTCATGGGATGACGGATGCCATTATCTTCACAAAATTGATTAAACTCCTTTGATGTGAACTCTCCACCTCGATCTGATCTCATGGCTTTAATAACGTACCCACTTTATTTCTCAATAAGAGCCTTAAATTTCTTGAATGCTTCAAAGGCCTCTCATTTTTTCCAGAAAATATACTCATGTTTTTCTTGAGTAGTCATCGATGAAAGTGAGAAAGTACTTACTGATGGATAGTCTACCCGGGGGGTATCTTATCCGAGGTGTTATTGCGGGAATAACTTAGAGAGAAGTCAGAGCGAAATAGGAGGAAAGAGTCGATTGTATTAATAACTCGAGATGTGTTTGGATGTGGATCGTTTACAAGGGGAAATGGGCTG